GCAGCAGGTGTACCCCTGGAGAGACTGGCTCATAGATAAGGCTCCACTTGGAGCAGGTACACCCCTAAGGGTCTGTGGTCCGTAGATAAGTCCGAACCAGAGCAGGGGCAAGGGGAGGAGTTCATTGCAATGTTAAACCCTATAACCTTGCCCAAAGTGACCAGGGGTGGAGATTGTAATGGAAATACCTTTAAATTGTTGTAAGCCATGATTTGAGTTGCATGTTACAGGAATTACTATAGCAGGAACCACCTGAACCAATGGAGGACAAGCCTTACAAGAAGCAGTGCAAGTGCAGCAGTGACCCGACCTGAGCCGGCTTTGGGGCCCAATACCTCCATGTGGGCTCTAAACACCTGCCTGCTGATGGGAAGTATTGAATGAATTCCTTATTTTGCTTTTCTTGTGCTCATGGCTTTTGCTTTACCTACTAAACTGTCTTTATTCAGCACGTGAGTTTTCTTTTAGCCTTCCGATTTCTCTCCCCCATCTCACGTGGGGGGAGTGAGTGAGTGGCTGTGTGGGGCTTAGTTGCTGGCCGAGGTTAAACCACGACACCAACTGATATAATTCCTGTGCATGCACCGTCCTCCCATTTTAGGTGGAGAAAACTGAGCATGAGAAGTGTTGCCTGAAAACAGAGTTCTTGAAATGCCAACAGGAACTGGGCGCTGCTCAGAGCTCAGGAGATGGAAGGCTTGCCCTGCAGCAAGAAATACACGTGTTAGTGCCAAGCTGTGTGGCAGAAGTGGAAAGCAAAGCTGGCGAGGTCTGCAGAGGAGAAGGCTGAACTGACAGAGAGACTCAAGAATAGAGAGATGCACTTAGGGGTGCTGAGGGAGGCAAAGGTTTCCTGCAGAGGCTCAGAGAAAGAAGACGTGAAGAGGTCAGAGCTGTGGGTTGTCTGGTTGGCAGTCCCTGTCATCCCTAAGGTGGGGGGAGAGGGCAGGAGTCATCATGGGCTGCTATTTCCATAGGACACTGCTTCCCTGGTATCCATCACCCTGTTGTATAGGTAACTGGGTTATAAGTGAGGATCCTGCTGTTGTGAGGAGGTGGAATCACCAGATGAATCCAAATAATTGATCTGGCTTCAAAGATGCCCTACAGAAAGGCGCTTTGTCCATACTGTGTCTGTCCTATACTGTGGCACCTTGTTGCTGGATCCCTCACACAGTGTTCGGTCTGTAATGGAGACAAGAATGGGATGGAGCAAGGAACCCCAGTGCACATGGTACTCCTGGTAGGAACGGGGATAGCAGCTGGGTGTGTGATGGGAAGTATCAGATCCAGGCTCTTGCCACTGACTCTCCTCTTGGCTTTTGACCTCTCGCCCACAGTGTTATGGAGAAACTTAAGAACCTGCGTATGAATGTGAGCTGGCTTCCCTCGTTCATCCTCCCCCACTTGGAGCTCCAGGATATTAACTTTGAGTCAGATCAGGTGGATGAGATCTTGCAGACCATACTGGAGGAGACAAACCTCATGTTGGAGTAGTTCCCTCTCTCCTGCCACTGTGCCTTTTGCACATGATCGTTAATAAAACCCTGGTTTCTTTACTTGTGCTCTAGGTCATCATTCTATGGGGCAGAGGGTTCTTCTCACCCTCCTCTGGTCTTGCAGGACTGGTATGGCTCTTCTGCTCCCCATTGCTGGGGGCTGGTGTTCCCCAGATGGTGGAAACCCAGAGGCAGTGTAAGCAGAGGGGACTGCAGCATGGGCATGGCTCCGAGCACAGCCAGGCTGGGTCATGCCTGGCCAGCAGACACCCCCAACAGCCTCTTTGCTGTGCTCCTTAGCAGTCTGGGTTGAGTAGCAGAGAGGCAGGGAGACCCTGGCAGTGGCTGCCCGGCTCCTGGTGTAAGAAATATCCCAGGAGAGTGCAGCCCTGGCACTCCTCTGTGGCCATGCTGGAGTCTTCTTGTGACTAACACAGCTGACTGGCTTGGGCTAGAGCAGCATGGTGCTGACGTTAAGGATTTGGGCCCTTTCACTCCGGGAAGCAGTCTCGAGTTCATAGGTCTGATCAGCCCACGCAGCAGCTAAACTGGGTCCCTGCCTGTATTTTCCTCTTGAGTGTGTCTGTTTGTTTGTTAAATAATGTAGCAACATGAGGTTCCTTGAACTAAATTTATCTTCCCGTGTAGCTATGGGAACAGTCGGTGGTATGGTGATGCTTGGGCTTGCAGTCAGATCTGCTGCAAGGCTCTGGGCTAGCGTGGCTGAGCCCAGCTTCTTTCAACAGATGTCCTGCATGGGAGCTTTGCCTTTAAACTTTCTTTTTAGGCTTATTTTCTTTGACTCTTCTTTAGCCAGCAGCATGACCATCCTTTTAACCTGGGAAATGGTGAGGACAACAGGGTGTTTGGAGGAAGATGTGGGGTTCGAGAGCAGCCAGACATGACACAGGGGAATGGTCGCACTCAGACCAAGGGATGCTGCAGCTCCCTGTCCTGCCTCCAGCATGGTTCATGGGAAGAAACTAAGTGCAAGGGCAAGTGCATATAGTTCAATATTGTTCAAGCCTGTACTTATTTTCAGCTTAGAAGCTTCCTGAATCAAACATGGTTTCCTACAGGTATAAAATGACTGGCTTAAAGGAGCTGAGGAGAAATCCCCCTTACAGTCATGCATTCACTGTCCTTTCTGAAGTGTGTTCTCTTGCCCAGATGGTGGGTATGGAGGAGAGGGTGCGTGGGTGGCCAGCACAGTGTAGCTCCTTTGGCTCAAACACTTCATTTATCCTGAAAAGACATGAGACCATGTGACAGAAACCAGTGGCTTAGGTGGTATCACCAAACATGTATAGTATGTGTTGCCTGAAAGTCAGAGTTGAGCAACACAGCTATGTGGACAGAGAGTGCCCCATCCTGCGTGGTAAGGACTTTGCCACGTCCTTTCCCCCATGGCTGGACTTACACACATTACCACATAAGTTACTTTCACTGTTGCTAATGGAGATAAAAAGGACATGTCTATACAAATGTGTTTTTTCTGCAGGTTTTGTTTCTGTAGGTGCTGTAGGTGCTGTCTCTGTGTCTACCATTCCTGATTTCCTGTCTCGTTGAATCCTGTTTCATTTTCAGCTCGTGTTTCTACATCTCAGAGCTGTTTCTGTGACCTCTCTTGACATTTTCAGATTGTGCTGTTTACTGTGTTTTCAGGTCAGTACTGTGGGTGGTAACACTTGAGCTTGAAGGTAGCTCCCTTATCTCCCTCCATTCATGGTTTGAAGGTAGCATTTCTTATCTCCATTCATGTTTGGTTTTTTGCTTTTGACATCTCGCCAGCTGGTCCTCAGACTGCAGGACTATGCCCCCATCACATTTAATTTTCAATAGAGCTGTTGAGGAGATTGAATCTGCACCAGGATATCCCAATGAGTCGAAGTTTCCTTTCACAATGTTTGGGGCACTTGCACTAGTTTTTATGGTTTCTGAGGTGCAAAAGAGCCAGCGATCTTGGGGAGCTGCCATGCTTCTGATCATGCTAGGAAGTTTTATCCCAAAAGCCAGTCATCCTTTGAAGCATCTACCCTGGGCAGGGGAAGAGACAGACCTTTATTTTCTTCTCCAAAGCTGCTTCTAAAGCAGGAAATGTCCACACCTCCTTCAGGCTTGATCTCAATGCTCTTCACAGCACATACGTGTTGAGCTAGTAATCTTAGCTGCTGCTGCTCCTCTTTGCATCCTGTTTATTCCACCCCATTATAACTAGCTCTGGGATCTGAACTTTATCCTTAATACTACTTGACCTTATTTTTTTAGAAGATTATTCACAGACATCCCTGATGTTTGTCATGTCATGTGCGGAGCCCTTGGGCTAGACCCCATCTCCGGGAGGGAGCTGTGGCAGAGCCTGCATAACCCAGAGCTCCTCCTCGTTAATTCCTGCCACCTGGGGAAAGGAGAACGTGTTTGTGTGATGTACAGTAAACAGATACTCAGACATTAGTGATAGGAATGGGCTTTGCTGAATGAGGAGGTGGTGAGCAAAGGGCAGCTTTGATGCAAGTATCAATCGGCAGAGATCCATGAGCCTATGGAAGCATTTAACAGCTTGTGAACAGTTAGCAGGCTTCATACTCTCACCTCTCTGTGTCTTGCATTACCAGCAAAGCAAAATATATGCTCCTTACAGCAGTACGTGGGACTTTTGACATTTCTTGAGCTGATTTGTTTTCCTCAGTGTAAAGAAATAATACACAAAGCAGTTCTGTGATGGAGCATTTCCTAAATGGATGTAACTTGGCAAACAGTGCAACTATTAATTTTCCTTAGATAAGCTGGTATCAAAAGTACCTGGTTTTGAAACTTGGCACTTCTCTCCTGCATCTTTCAAAGCTCACTCAAAAATGCCCGTGCCGGAAGGTTGATGCCATAGTATTTTGGGGGGATTAAGTCGTGTAGTGAAGATAAATACTTATTGCAGGTGAGGAGGTCGGAAAAGCATCTCAAAGATAAGGCTGTTTGGCAAAGCTTTCTCCTCCCAGAGCTCTCCGCATCCTCCCTGTCAGTGCTGTGCTGTGCTCTGTGTAGCCAGCAGCCCTGGCAAGGCTCAAGGGGGAAACCCAGCCTGTCCTGCCCTTGCTTTCCAGCGTTGTGTGAGAGGTGTGCAGGAGCAGGCAGGTGGTTGAAGGAGGCAGGGAAGAGCAGTGCTGCGTTTCCCCTCGGCTCACGCTGCCGTGGGCACTGCAACTCTCTTCATCCCACCAGTGAGCTGGGAGTTTTAGTGTTGTATTTTGCAGGCAGCCTCCCTCTGCTTTGCAAAGATCTCCCATGGGAAAGGGTAGCTGCGCTCAGGGACAGCTGAGGATAAACTGCCAGCAGCCCTGGCAAGGCTCAAGGGGGAAACCCAGCCTGTCCTGCCCTTGCTTTCCAGCGTTGTGTGAGAGGTGTGCAGGAGCAGGCAGGTGGTTGAAGGAGGCAGGGAAGAGCAGTGCTGCGTTTCCCCTCGGCTCACGCTGCCGTGGGCACTGCAACTCTCTTCATCCCACCAGAGCTGGGGGAGTTTTAGTGTTGTATTTTGCAGGCAGCCTCCCTCTGCTTTGCAAAGATCTCCCATGGGAAAGGGTAGCTGCGCTCAGGGTCAGCTGAGGATAAACTTGTCTCTTCATACAAGACTGGGCTGCCTTACAGTGTGTTTTGCCCTGGTTATTCCTTTTTTTTCCTCTGAGGCTTTTACTCAGCCAGAAGTACTGAAGTTGGGTGGATTAGCTGCATCTGCCTGTGACCTGTGCAGTAAAACTTACCTATTTTCAATTGCAGACTTACAAGCCAGAAATCAGTCCGTGGGGTTTATGTGGGATGCTAGTCATCCTAGCACATCTGGGAGAGGAGATGTTTCGGTTTTGGGAAGGAGGCCATAACTCATAGCAAGACCCTTGTTTGTGAGCAGGCCCTGGGACGTCAGCTACAAGGACAGGTCTCCTGTAGCCAGCTCTGTCCAGGGAGGTGGAAATTTAATGTGTGTTAGCACAGTTCTTCACGTCTTGCTCCTTGGGGCTGAGCTATGGGGGCTTTGTGCTGGGAGCCGCTTTCGCCTTCCAGGGGCTTTGCTTTGCAGCAGAGAGGTCCTTCCCCTTGCCGAGGAACGTCCCCAGTCCTGAAGCGCCAGCTCTCCTCACCTTGAAAACAAGGAGCTAATTGTTTTTCCACCTGCTGTCTCTTACCTGCCGATCTTGCCTGGGCACAGGCAGCCTGTGCCTCCTCTACCTGCACGGAGATAGAGAGAGCAGCTTTGCACAGGCCAGCGGCCGGACCTGGGGTGAAATGACCTGCCAGATGGCAATCTGGAAACACCATTAAAATAAAGATGGATTGAGAAGAGCAGGCCGATGAGGAAGCATTCAGTTGCGGGGAAGGTCAGACATTAATTGCCTCCTTGCCTACCCATGCTCTGCGAGATACGGTGCGGGGCCTCCACTGCAGCCGGGGGAAGATTCAAAGGCAAAGGGCAGAGCCCTTGTTCCTGTGAAAGTGTACTGGAATAGCTCAAAGGGCATGGGAGCATCACAGTCGTGGAGCCAGTGATGGCTGCGGTCTGCCCTTAGCTCTGTAATGCCTGCAGACTCCCTGGGCTTCTCTATGCCATGGAAAACACGGAAGGCTGGAATTGCTCCCATCCCCCAAAAGGAAAGGGCTAAAAATTTGGGTAATGGAAACGCGTCTGTTGGAGCAACCTTGGGAGCACCTGCCAGGTATAGCCAGTGGTGTGCGACTTTGGTCCAGTGACCTGAGAAACCTAGAGAGACTTTTTCTAGAAAAGCGAGTTCAAGGCAATCATGCTGTTTGTGATGTGGGTCTTGTCCTGGTTTTAGTCTTTTTTAGCAGGCTGGACATCGCAGAAATAGAGGGTGTTGTAAGTTTTGTAAAAAAAGACACCTGCCTTGAGGAAAGATTAGTTCTCCGGTGTGGGAAAAGCTTCATCAAAGCACACCCTTCCTCTGAAATCCTGAGTGGAGATAAGATGCAACCCCAGAGCTGGTGAAGCCTCCC